GAGCTGCTGCAGGACGCGCGACGCGTTTAATGGCTGCTTACATACACAAAAGGATAAACATTACAAGTTTAAGAGATAGAGAACATAGTAGGTTCGACTCGACAGAGGCTTTGACATCCTTCAATCTTCAATATTTGAAAAACTATTGCGAAACAAACGGTCTGTCTTTTTCCCGTGTACCTCTACCTGCGGGAGTGCATTGAGAGCCCAAAACTTTAACTAATGGCAACATTTTTTGTTTGTTCGAGTCGAATGTCATTGAGCCAGAACCGAAGCCCCGCCAAAGCTAAGGAGCAAACTTTCATTTGGCTCCGGCTGTCATAAGTTTAAATGGGGTCCGGGTCCGCCGGATGGGTGATGGGTGGTTCGGTGTTCAAATTGGAGTCCCCGGAATGAATGAAAAATATCAAATTCAGAGTCGGAGCCATAGCTATAGCCATAGCGTGGTTGGCGAAGCGTAGCAAATATTTGACCAGGTCTGTGTGGCATCTCTTGGCCATATCCCCTTTGACCTGGGCATCTATGTCTCTTCCAGCCGATCCACACACTTAACACTTAACGTGGCCATAAACAGCACAGAAAGAAAGGGTCGGAGACGCTTGAACCAGGACGAGTATAACAAATGCTAAAACATTGCACAGCGGACTGGACGGGACGGAACGGGACGCGACGCGACGAAAAGGAACAGCTTGTGCCAGATTTGCCTTTTTAAAAAGCGCTCAGGGGCACTCCCAGCCCATTCCCACTCTGCCCCCCTATACTTATACTCTCGGCACATTTACAAATGCGCTTTTAACTTAAATGACAGTCCAAGGGGAAACAAGACAGCAGGCGGGACGGGGGCAAACAAGGGGGTCCAAAGCTGAAACAGAAACAGAAGCCAGAGCTCCCCCTCTTGGCCATGATTCTGGTTCTCCTGCTTCTGGCATCTTGGCTGCCACTGAGAAAAACGCATTGCAATTTTTTACACCCACCCTCTGCCAGCCAAGTGGGAAGTGCCAACCCCCCCTTTGGTAGTACAGCCATTTGATGTAAATATTGTATTAGTCGGGGCCAAAGTGTTGAGTAAATTTATTGGCAGCCCATAAATCGCTCTCTCTTTCGCCCTCTCTGGGGTTTTCTCTGGCCTCTCTGGGTACTAGATTCTGCTGTTCGGCTTCCTTGGGATTGTGAATGAAAAATTAAGCACTTGAAAGGTAAATGTATGCCGGAAGGAGGTGGCATTTCTCAGGTACTATTCCGTATGAATCGTTGCTGCTTCAGTGGCATTTCAATTCAAAGTTTTCATTTTGGGGCTTCACTTCCCGTGACCAAAATCAGTAAAAAAATCCAAAAAAATATATGATGAAAATGCAAAAATGTTGTTGCCCAGACCCTGCCTCCTCTCTTTACCCGACCATCCTCCGTTTCGGCAGCCATGCCAATTTTAATTAACAAAAAACATGGCCAACTCCGTGTTGCCTTCTGCACTGTGTGTGTCTGTGTCCAGGTTCTGTTCTGTTTTGTTTAGTTTAGGTAGTTTTGTTTTGTTAGTTTGAACTTTGCTTCTTTTCTCTTGAATTTTTGGTGGATGAACCAGGAGGAGGTAGAGCGCAGAGTAGAGTGATGGTGGATTCTGCCGCAGTAGCTGCTTGTTTCGATCCATTCAAATACAGTGTGGGAAAACCGCTGCATACTTTCGGGGATCCCCGAAAAAGAGCCCCAAGATCGAGCTGATCGATCAAGAGAACATATTCTAAATTGCTCATCATTGTCAGGAGCTGTAAAATGTACTTTACTGAATGCCAAGGTTATCTCCTTACAGGTCACTCATCAGTCGACTCCTTTCCTCCCGTCCCACTGCTCCATCTCTCTCTCTCTCTGGGGGGACTTGCTTGCCACTGCGAATGCATTTGGTGACAGTTCTCTCTGACGCGGCGCCATTGTAGTTCTGGCTGTCGTTTCCGCTTCCGCGTTTGAGTCCGTTTTCGTACGCAGCATCACTTTTTGCCGTTTGCTGTTTGCCTTTCGCGTTTTTTCTTTTTGCATTTTGCATTTCTGGCTTTCGCTTTTATCTCTTTTCTTTGTTTGCCGCTCAACTGCTGTTCAGCTATTCAAATATTTTCCTTAATCCAAACAACGCCCCATCCGCTATTCAATCCTCTCACCGCCACCCGCTGGATTAGTGTTAAAACATTTAATTATAAAATTGTGCTACTCTTCGCTCCTGGTGTTTCATCTGCTTTTTGTTGCTTTTTGTTTGACACTATAGAGGGTGTCACGAATACCTTATTACACTATTGTTTGTTCATACTGTACACACATTCACTCCAAATGATGCGAATGTTTCTTACATTGTAATGCATTAGTGTACAAATTTTCCATAAGCGTACGTATTTTGGTATTTTAACAGGGAAATTTCAAAACTTTATCGAGGTTTCTTCACTGCAAACATATAATTTGGTCGGTATTTTGTTTAGCTTTGAACATTTATAGGAAAAAGTACCACCAATGCCTCCAGCTTGAAGGGAATGGCAAGTTTTACAGTCACGCGTGAGCAGTGGAACGATGCTAGTGAAAACAATGTTCCCATAAGCGAACAGACTTCACTCTACGCGAGCGATTGTGTTGTTCCATTTGAAGTGAAAGCCAGATAGACAGTCACGCGTTAGCGTTCCTGTTTGAAGTTCTCAGGCAAATCAGAGCACTCGATCATCGGCGTAAAAGGGTGCTCGGTATTTCGGTGCCCGAAACTAATATTCCTGTACGCTTCGCATAAATTGAATGACAACAACACTTTAGCTTGTTTGCTCATATCATTAATTTGCCATTTGGTCAAATAATAATGAATATTTCTCCTTCTTTTTTGCCAGTTTTTTCCCCCGCGGTGGGTAATGGTCGTTTGCCTTTATCCATATATTCGTACACGTATGTATTTGTGTTTTGTATCATATTTGCATTTGGACTATGGTGCCAGTGGACCGAGTATATTCCATGGTATATAGTTTTTGTTTTTATTTTTAGTATGAAATGCAATTAATTAGAAGTGGATAATGTGTGCGTTTGTGTGTGTGTGTGTGCTTTTCCCTGCATGAAAATTAAATTAAATTAAATTCTATGTGCATTTTTAACGAGCTCTGGAATGCCACAAAAAGTAACGAGTATTCGAGAACTCGAATACCAAAAACATACAAAATCCATTCATCCGGGCATTCATCGAGCGAGCATTATGAAAGCGCATTAACGGGGACTGGCAGAACGGACAAACGGACAGATGGGCGGACAGTGCACGGACGGAGCATCAATTAAAATTGCTAAATCATGTCAAATATTTTAAGAGCTGTTAACGGTTTAACGCACACATTTTTTATGGACAGAATACAAAGAAGGAGAGCACCAGAAACACGGGAAATATGTGTAATTGATACGACGTGAGTGGGGGAAACATGCCAATCGGAAGAGACGGAGAATGGCCAACATCCGCGCCCAACGAAGGTGCTGCCCCATCTGTTGCAACATCTGAGGCAGGAGCCAGGAATCGTGCAACTTGTTCGCTCTCATACAACAGAGGCGCAACCACGACTCGAAATGCTGTTAGAAGGTCTAACAGTGGAAATGGAAGCCTTGGAAGGAAAGGCTGTTTTTGGCTGCTTACTGTGGGACGGCAATGGTTTTGATACTGGATTTCCGCCAAATTGTCCACAATGTTAAAAAAAAAAAAAACTTTTCGACATAGTTCGGTTCCCATTATATTTTCTATATTTTTAAAATGAAATAATTGAACCGATTGGCATGTTATCTCGTTAACTTTGATTTGAAATACTTTTAAAATCAGCAAAATTAATTTCTTTGGTATTTCTTGCTAATTTTATAACATTATTTATTATCTTATGTAGGAAAGATGAGTCTTGATAAAAGCTCTTCCACAAAGTCCCTCAAACAAATTCAAATATCTAAAATACAATCCCAGAAAATTTTTCCAATCTCCTCTAACGATATATTTTTTAACAATTATTAAAAAATTATTATTATTATGAAACAAGCAAAAGAAAAGGGTTTACATTTAATAACTTTAAAAATAAACAGTCAATATTTAACATATTAGTATAGTTCGCAAAGTTGTTTAGTCTTGTGATCCAAGCTCAAGAACTACTTCTGTTGGAAACGTAATGTCAGGTCATATTTTGGTAATATCTTTAAAACCGTACGTTTCTTGCTGAAAAAGGTCCTAATTGCTATGCAAATAGGAGCAAAACTTGTACAAATTTGACATATTCATTCTTTTTATTAACCTGTTGTGGTACCAACGTAATGTATCCGCAGAATCTAATGCCCATACGTACATATCTATTTCCATTGAATTTAATAGTGACTATTTTGGGGAGAATTCTGTAGAAGTTCTCAAGTATCCAGGGCCCGATTGAAGCTCTTATTTTGTCTCAAAGAAGGGTGTTCAGATAGCTGATCGACGGAAAAGGGACTTATCGTATGACAGCCAGCGGCAGATATGAACATTTATTGCTAAGTATGCAAATAGTTACTACATAAATAGTGCTCCACTTCCACTTCCAGTTGTTTGCCCAACTGTGCGCACTGACGTTGGAGAACTTGCGTCATCAGCTCCCCCGATTGTTCTATGACAAAGCTGCGCACAGTGGGGCCTCAGCCGCAAAGAGGTGGCAAAAGTCAACAAATTTTGGATAAAATGATTCATTTTATTACTCATCTAATAGAGAACTCCCAAAGCTTTTTAAAATAATAATCGCACCTTTAGCTGAGCAGATATGAGCCCTCAAAGTTGAAATTTGTTTGAGAGTGCAAAATTACATTCCACTTTTATTTACTGTAATCTATCTAACCATCTAATTTTTGGCCTTTTTTGAACTTTGATTTCCTTGTAAAAAAATAGATCCCTAAATTTTCCTGAAATTTCTGTTGGTCTTTGAAAATCGCCTTTTCAAGGCACAAAAGCGCATCCAGCACTGAATGTATGTACACAAATGAATCTCTCATTCCGGATCTCATTCCGGATTCTGTCCCACGGCCTCCCGAAGAATCAACTCGTCCTCGAGGCGTCGCCGCTCCAGAGTTTCGGCCAATTGCCGCTCGTCGGGCAGGAAGCCGAGCCTTCGGTACCGCTCCTCGATTTGAGCCTGCAGCTGCGGCTGGAAGCGCCAGATGCTGGCATCTATGATAGGATCGATCAGCAGGGTCTTGGTGTCCGGCTCGCGGTAGTGCTGCATCTGGGCAAACTCTATGGGCACCGACTTGGCTGCACAGCTGGCGGCCTCCGTGTGGTAAAAGGCAAAGTGGTTATGCAGCCCTACCGCAAAGCGCGTGTCGTGCAGGCACTTGGTGGCCGCCGCGCGATTGCAGTGCTCCCGCACCCGCTCCACATGCTGCAGCATGTAGAAGGAGCTCGAGAGGTTACGGTATACCTTGGGCCGCTCGGGATACCGCGGATAGTAGACATTCCGATAGCAGAAGCTCACCCACTCCTTGCAGCTCGCCGGCGTGGTGTTCCCGTAGTCCGGGGCGGCACGCGAGATCTCGATGAGCTCCGGCCAGGTGGTCCTGTTCCCCAGGGGCATGATCACCTCATCGATGTCAAAGACACCTATGTAGTCGTACTTGTACATGTTCCGGTAGAAGCAGTCGTTGTAGGGTATCATTTCGTTGAGGATGCGATTGAAGCCGTCCGCCTCCATGGCGTAGTGATGGAAGTGGGGCGGAGCATGTGGTTCCCCGCGGCCGAGGGACATGGGCCGCAGCTCAACGAATCCCGGGCTGTTCTTCACGTAGTCACGCACCACACGCGTCATATTTGGGTGCATCTGGGCATCGTAGAGAACCACTTTGTGGACACCCAGGGAGCGCATCAACTCCAGCCACTCAATCAGCCGCCAGGACTTGTCTTCGTAGGGAAAGTCCATGGCCTTGACGCACACCGCAAAGCGAAGTGGGGGCTCCTCGATGTCCTCCTCCCGCCCAGTGGGAGTTGATACTTTAGATCCGTTTCCAGGCTGTGATTCGGATGCGGGTAGCTGCTCCACCGCGTCCACCTCATAGACCACGCGCAGCAGGTTCCTGGCCCGATCGCAGTGATCGGCCACCAGGGACACCATCTGTGGCACCTCCCAGCGATGCCTGCCCTCGGGCAGACGGCAGCCCATGAAGGTGGGATAGTAGCGGCGCGGCGCATGGCCAAAGGGCCACATCACCTTGTGTTCTGTGACGGGCACAATCACCGGCCTGTCCCGGTCCTCCATCCAGAACTGGCAGTAGGTCGCGGGGTACTTGAAGCTTTTGTCGTCGTGCTGGTTGATCATCGTCAGCAGGCGGACGAGTGGAGCCTCGGGCACCGCCTCACGGTCGTCGTAGTAGGCCCCGTAGATGTAGTACGTGAGATTCTCGGCCTGTGCCCGCTGCCAGTAGGTGTTGTGGAAATCGATGTTCATCAGATCCGGCGCCGGGCCACAATCTACGCGGCCTGCTGGTCGCCTCTGTCGCTGCAGGAGCTCCTCCAGGGGGAAAGAGGGCATCTCCTGGCGTATCCAGCGCAGACGCTGCTCCATGCTGGGCACTACAGACTGGGATTTATAGACTTATAGATGGAGAGAAGCTACCGCTACTTACTCTCCCTTCGATCCACCAGCAGCTGGTCGAAGATGTCGACCATACGGCGGGACTGTGACTGGGACTGGGATAGTCCTGCCGTTAGCTTGGAGACACCCTCATAGCTGCGCCAGTAGAGGACCACCAGGAAGATCAGCTTCAGCAGAATGATCACGAAAAGCACTCGAAAAAGACGCGTATATGTCGAAGACATTTCGGCTGACGGAATGTTCTACCCTGGAACGTTATACTGCCTCAACCTCCGACCAAACTGTGAAAGCGTGTTGCCCACAGGGTGGCACTTTTGCTTTAGCTCCAGCTTCAGCCTCAGCCTCAACATCTGTCCCTTTGTCTGTTTCTATTTATGTTTATTCTTGTTTAAAGTTTAACAATGTTCGGTTTAACTTCGGGAAAACGATAAATGTTAAATAAGTATTGTATTCGAACTGACTAAGGGGGGCGGGTCGAGCAGCATAAATATTATAATTACATATTATTATTAAACTAAATTCGTACTATTACTATTATATGTTACTATTATATAATATAATTGCACGGGCGATTCGGTAAATCGAAATGTTCTTGAACTTAAATTCTTATGCTTTTGCTCACCAATAAATTGGTATAATAAATATCGATCCGACGAAAGAGACTAAAGATGGGATTTTTGGTTGAAAATCCTGAGGACGGTCGATGTACGAGCAAGATATACATTTAACGACTATTACAGAAAAGAATTTTGATGGTAAGTCATAACGAACCGCAACAAAGACACCACCAATATTTATCAATAAGATTTTCAGAGTTAGAATAAGCAATTATGTCTGCCTCAAAAAATTCACTTTAATTAACCCAATTATCTCGCCGCACAAACCACGCACATTCTGATAGGTTATCTTAAGAGGGAGGTGAGAGTTTATTTTTTTGAGATAGAAGGTAAAGCGGACGGAAATGGAGATGGGTATCCTTCCACCCACTCGAAGTTCAGCGTTGGTGGGCCGATTATGAAAAATGAGATAAATCGCATGTACAGGCCAGAAAGAAGGGTACTAGAATTTTACGTTTACCTTAAAATTAAATGTAGCAACTACAAGGCCAGAGGAGTTGTCAATTTTAAGTTTAGAAAAGGGGCAATCTTCAACCAGAACATCCGTATTCGAATATAGATCAATGAGGGGCGACAGCAGTAAGAGTCGATGCGTCGGCGGATTCGATAATGGCCACAGAAACGCCAGCAACGGCATCGACGTTGTCTACACATATGAAACCACTGTCTGACGATGGTACCGTTTTTGCTGAAGAGGCAGCGGGAGAGTCAACGTTATTATTATTGGGCAAACTATTGTCAACCTTCTATCTCTTTGAAGACTCAGTTTAAGCGTTAAAGTTTTTAAAATTGAGAGAAACTTATCCTGTAACAGCCGGAACTCGTTGTACAAAAATAAGAATAATAAATATGAAAAAAATAAGAGATAAAAGGCGGAGGTGTCAAGCGCGGTGCGTGTGTGTTAGAGAAAAGGTAGAGGGTAAATAAAACCAGAGAGCGGCTCAGAGAGAGTGCAGCGCACAAGCAACGACACATATAGCAACGACATGCCCGCTGCAAAGAAGAATGTTCGGAGATGGCAAGAACGCACACAAGAATTGAAATTAGAAATATGTAAATACACAAAAACAAGCTTACGGCGTACGGCGTGATAGCGGAAAAATGCGCCATCGCACTGTGGGGTAAAAGCCAACAATTTCATTCTAAAAACAGGGCTAGACGTCTAGAAATGTTGTACAAATGATAGTTGGATTACAGTTGAATTTCGAAAAGTCTATTGAACCACGCCTTCCTCCCGCCCCGTACCACAAAAAATAAATTAATGTCGAATTTATAATACAAAATGGACTCAAATGTTTAACAAATTTATGTTAAAAAAGCTTTAAACAATTACTAAACTTACAAAAAATATATATTTTGATGCTATTTGTTTAGCATATACATATGTACATGTATTGTATATTTATAAATTTATTAATATGCAGTTAGTTTTCCGCAACATTCTTAATTTTCGTCATCTAAAGAAATAAATTCGTGATCCTCTTCTTCTTCATTATAATACTGATCTCTGGATTTATTTTCAAGAAGATCAATCCAATTTGTTGCGTCTAAGCAAATATCTAGAGCTTCTATCTAATTCTAATTACGGCTGGTCTTCATATATGTTTTGATTCGGCAACTTGAAGATACGAAGGGAAAACTTCACAAACTATTAATATAATTTAGTTATATAATATACATATATATACATAATAAATATAATTTTCAATAAAGAATGCTAATGTATGATCAGCACTCGACTTTTTTGCTGAAAGGTGTGACGTTGACTGCCCTTGTCCTGAAGCCAGCTCAGATGCTAATATCCTAATATCCTACCTCTACATACATATTTTAGCTGCTTCCGACCTTTATAATTTCTTGCTTCTAAATAGCAACAACCATGTTATATGCAACCACCGTGAGTGATTTGATTTGAATCGCTCGAACATGCGATCCAACAATAATGTGGCTAAATTTCTTTGACTTTGCAATCGTTTGGTCTTCAGTCAGACAGTTTTCTTCGATATTTTCAAAATATCGCCTGCTTCGCGTGTGTCTTTGCTCCAAATCTCAAGCAGTGCTGCAAGAGTAAACTCATAATCTCCTGCGTTATGTAGTTTTTTTCCGGTAAGGGGGAAAAAAGCATTTATACCATTTGATTTGATATATTAATTTGCTAAAAACATTCAACTTGAATCTTGCCAAATCGTTTTGCTGTATTCAGCCGATCGATCGGTTCAAACCCCTGTGTTTGCGTAAAGAACACACTTACTTTCAATTACTTTTCAAAGTTTGTATGAAGAGCGAAGTCAAGCACGACTGTCAAAAAGTCTTTACATTATTTGATAAAGGTGTTTTCCATTATGACTTTCGATTTCGTTGGATACCTGAGACCGAAGGCTGATCTACTATAATGGAGCAGATCTTACAGAAATGGGTTCGTTAGTATCTCAATGGTATCCATGGCAAGATCAGATCCAGTATTTGTTCAACTTGCGGGAAAACGGAACAGATAAAGCGAGAAGCAAACAAAAATAGAGTCAGAGCCAGTGAAAGAAACACAGTTAGAGCCAGAAACTGTGACAGAAATGGAGCCAGCAACAGAAACAGTTCGGGCTAGAGAACCATCCAAGCAGAACATGGCATAAGTTCTTAGAATAACAAAAACAAGATACAGACCCATTCCCATTCCCAATGCCATTCCACTGGATGTGTAGATGTGCCCCAACATGAGGCTCCGGCTCCATCTGAGGCTGTTGTCCTTGTCGCTGTCGTGGTCGCTGTGGCTGATGCAAGGATCCCACACACACACAAACACAAAAGGCGCCGCAAGGTGTGCAACAGACACCAAAAGAAAAACCAAAATACAAGCAACGGCGAGCGGGGAGTGGGCCGGTCCTGAGGTGAGGTCTGAGTGCACACGAAAACGCACCTGAGCGCAAATGAATGATGATGATGTTGCCGCAGCCGCAGCCACATACCCATAGTGCCGCCGCTGCACAGTGGGAAAAGAGCTAAACTATCGGAATTAAAGTCATAGCTTCTTAAATAATAAATATGTACTTTAACATTTTTTTTTTCGTTTAATGCTACTAATGTAGACAATTTTTGGGAGAATATATTTTTTTTTAATTTTTATTTTTCAGTTAAAAATTAATGACGCATATATATATTTTTTTATTTATTCTTTGATGACAGTAAACATTTAAAAAAGGTATTTTAATTTAAAATATGAATAGTTAAAACAATAATTATTCCGAGTCTGAACTTGAAAATTAGCTGCTGTAAAAAGATCCCGTTAGTTCCAATCTTAACCAAAAAATGTAAAAAAAAAAAAAAGTTGAATCCAGGTGAATTTCAAAAGTTTCACTCCACGAAAGTCTACCAGGAGTTTGTTGACTGTGTTACTTACGATTGCAAGATTATATCACGGTTTTCACACAAAGCAAATACACAGACTATATTTTTTTAAATTTATACATATATACCTTAATGTTTATAAAAAGCAAAAAACTATAAGGATTGGAACATTTTTGGTAACTTTCAAGCCAAATCGGTTGAGTGTAGAATGCTTTACAGCTCACCGAATATCAATCAAATATTTTTAAAGAAATTGTCGATAGCCTAAAGAGTGTATTGGTAATCAAATTCATACACAAGTTTGAAGCTTTTTCGAATTAAAAATTCGACTTTCACTCCGCTAGTTTGGCTGTTTTACCCACTGTGCGCTAGAGTCTGGGACAGTGCCACAAAAAGGAGTTCCACCAATCAAAAATGTCTCGTGGCAGAAAGTTTGCGCTCTTTTGTGTAACTTCTACAGTTGCACCCACTGTGGGTCTCTCGGCACATTGTCAGAAGTTGTGTTTGTTGCACAGGTTTTTCCACGGCTACTGCCACATATATGGCACAACCTTTCGCTTAAGCAAATTGCCAGGGTTCTTGCGCAATCCTACTCCTGCTGCTCCTTCTGTTGCTACTCCTCCTGATGCTCCTTCTTGTCCAGGCTCTGTTCCTGTTTCTGGCTCTAGTTTCCTCCTTGCGGCCAGTGAATGTCGCTTGCAGGCTGCTGCTTGGTTACTTGGTTGCCGCCCTGTTGCATTTCACTTAAAATGCTTTTAACCAAAACATTAAGCAGCTGGTGTCACATTATATCAGGAGCAAGACGAGGCAGTGGCAGAGTAGCTGATGCAGAGGCAAGGCTTAGTTAGCCCCGGAGTCAGCAAAGAGCAACAGGAACAAGACTGGAAATTTATGGCCTGAATTAACCCAAGCCAAAACTTCCAACCCTATCGCTATCCCCCATCCCCATCCCCATCCCCATGCCCATCCCCATTCTAGAGATGATGAGTTGCTGCTCCACTGAAGAGGAGTCTCCTCTAATGAGTTGAATTATTTCACCGTCTGGCTGGGGGAGAAGGTGAAGAAGCCGCTCCGTGACTCTTGAAGAAGGGGGATACATATGTATATGACTGACTCCTTAAGAGGGAGCTCTGTGATCTGGAATGCCTTTAAAAGAAGAGCTCCACTCAGATGAGTGAACAAAGAAGGAGGCTCTGCTCAATAGCTCAAAGTACTGCCAAAGAAAGGTACTACTCACCATGTCTCCATGTCAATGCGCTCTCAAATGC